CAGATATCGTAACTTCACGTCCTCTGCTTTTTCTCCCACATCTGGGATACCCCAAGGGTCTAACCTGGGGCCGTTGATTTTTCTTTTATTTATTAATGACCTTGCAGATGTGGTATTGTGTGACAAATTAATGTTTGCCGATGATTTTAAACTTTATTCGAAAATTGAGTCTTTATATGATTGTGCATTACTTCAACGAAATATCGAAAATATTGTGCAGTGGTGTCTGGAAAATCGTCTGTCTCTGAATAAAAGCAAATGTAATGTAGTATCTTATTCAAGAAAACACATGAATATTATTTACGAGTATAACATTAATGGTTCCACTATTGAGAGATGTCATACAGTCAAAGATTTAGGTATAATATTTGATAGTAAACTCACCTTCGTGCAACACATTCATGCGTCTATTGCTGCTGCACTTAGAACCTATGGCTTTATATATAGGAACTGCAGCAATTTTTGTAATATTAGAACACTTAAAATATTGTTTTGTTCCTTGATTAGGTCGAAGTTGGAGTATGGTACTTTAATTTGGTATCCGATTTATGAAATACATTGCCGTCATTTAGAATCTGTTCAAAGACGATTCCTCAAATTTTTAGTATATTTGGAGGATGGTGTTTATCCCCCTCAAGGTTATGAACACTCCATGTTACTTTCTCGTTTTAATTGTTTGTCTTTGGCTGTACGACGAAAAGTAATAGCGGTCAGATTTTTATATAATTTATTTCACAATAAAGTAGACTGCATTGATATTCTAAATAGATTTAATATACTTGTACCTAGACTTAATTCTCGTCAACAAGTTCTGTTTTATATTGATTCTAGCCGTACAAACGTCTCAGTTCGCTCTCCAGTGTCGGTTATGTGTAATTTATTCAACAAAATTGCACATTTATGTGATATTAATTTTGATTCTAGTGTTAGTATTTGTAATTGCATCGTTAATTTGGGTTAATGTTTAATTAGCTGTAGATACTTTTGTTTTTTCAATATTTATACCTTTTTAGTTACTGTCATGAATTAGTTTAGTTAGTTTGATATTATTCCTGTAATTGGGTGTTACCTGTAGGAATAAATATTATTATTATTATAAAATGTATTCAACTTACTGACGAACGGACATTGATCAATCCGGACATAGTAAGTTCTTCTAACAGTCCTCCTCATCTTACAATGGAATTTAAACGGGTACTTTGCCCGTCTCGCTAATCTTCAAACTTTACTTTTCAGTTTTACTCCCCGTATAATACGTCTTATTACAAGAAACTTACTCTCCGTTAAAAAAAATCACTGTTCGAAAAATTATTCTCTCTCTATTCTATAAAAATAGAGTAGAGTGGGAGTCAAAGTGGTTCCATCCATCGCGAGAATTGAAAATTCTGAGGAAGGGAGAGGATGGTTTTGTGCTGTAATGCGAATTTAAATAAATATTTTCTTCCAAAACTCCATAGAAAGTTTGAAGAATGAACTCATTTTGGGATGAATTTTGTACATTTTAAGATTTTTACACCACTATGAATATAGATCTGAACCAGTGGCGGCTCGTGGTGATTTTTGATGGGTGGGAAAAGCATTAGGTAGGTTATTTATAACATGTATGAAAAAAAAAAATACATATAATCATCTTTGTGAGAAAGTGTTTTTGTTTTAGTGCTGCATGTCAGTCAATATAATATAACAAATATTTTATGTATATTACATATCATTATTTTATAAATATTACTTACAATGTTGTTCAGCAAGAACCAACGAGAACGTCAAAGACTTTTGCCAGAAGAGGAAAGGGAAGTAAAAAAAGGGTTCAGCACATAAGTGGATTTTTTAAGAGTTTATAGAACTACAGTACGTCAAATAATTATCCCAACATATAAAGATTTTGAAATACCATGAAGAAAAAACTTTAAATTTTAAATCTTTGCGATAAGCTACACTTAGAAAAAGTATCAATTTTGGAAAATTATTATAAAAGCAAAATTAAAAATGCCAAATGAAACAAAAAATAAATTCTCAAAGTACTAACAAAATTAACAATAACAAATAAAATAAAAATAATTCCAAAATAATCGTTCTGATTGGTTTTAAAAAGACTAGTATATACTAAAGACTCCTCCAAAAACTTTTTAAATCATCGAATATTGATAACAAATTTGCTAATTCTTTGAAATTACTTTGATTAAGAGAAGTTTGCGATTCGTCTGATCTCCGAAATCTGTTTTTGTGTAGCCAAGAAAATTATCATAGCGGATAAACGTTTAATAGTGAATCCATTTTTTTAACTGTTTCATTGTGTTGTAAATGTTTTTACAATAAGCCGAATTTAAGAAAATTTTCTATAGTTTCACTTCGTTTTCTAAGTAATTTTCATTTTTTCATATTGATCATGTTTTATATCTCTCTACTTGTGTAATTCCAAAATGTTCGTGATTGTTCGTTAAATAATAGACAATTCCAATTCCAGTTTTGATTGTTGTTTCACTACCGATCAGCCAATAATATTTATTGTTCCAATTTTGATTAAAGCCTTTATTACTGCCACGAGAGTTAGTGATGACTAATTTTATTGTTTCATTTCGGGATATGGTCTTAATTTATAAACAAATACTTCATAAACCTCAAGTTTCATGCTACTGAATTTATTTATTAATTGAAAAAACTTAATGTCTTTACCTTCTTTATCACCTCTCTAATTATTTCCACAGCTTACAGTTGGACTTTCCATTAAAAAAAACCTAAAAATTACCTACTTTGGTACCCGCCTAACCGTTTGGTAATTTGAATAAGCTACATTTTATAATTAAAAGCAGAATTCAGTTTCTGATCTGACTGAACACAATTGAGTCGTGTCTGCGACGAACCATACAGAGTGCTTCCAATTCCCAGGGTGGATTTGTCCATCTGACCGAAAGCGCGAACAAAACTATGTGGCTGTCTGAATCCGTCGTCTGAATTAAATAATAAATTAAGAGTATATTTAACTTTTGTTGACTCTCTACAGTTAACGAAGCATTCACTTTATAAAACAAAAATACATATGTAATAATCGAAAAGTACACATATGTCACATACGTACTTCAATAATAAATGCATTCCTACTTATTTTCTTCATTCGTTATTCGGATTTTTAAATTTATAATAAGTACATTATAAAGTTAACACTCTGTCATAAATAGTCATAATACAAGAATATGGTTGTTACGAATTTTCATTTGATATGAAAAAGTATTTATTAATTATTATGATGTTGCTCTTTTCTGTAACAATAGTATTCAAGAATTTTCGCATAATCATTATTTCCCTTACCACCTTACCCATAGAATAATATAAATAATTACCTTATAATTTTACAATACAAAGGAGCAGAAAATGGAAATTAATTTATTGAATCCTTGAATCGAATATTAGAAATCCGACTCTGCAGCGTTTGAGATACACATTGACGGCAGGGCGTCGTGCCCCGCTTAAAGCAAGAAAACGCGGATATGCAGCAACGTGCGTTTCGAATTCTTTACTCTTAGTTCCCTGCTCTCAATCGCGTACATAGAAAACCGAACATATGTCGTTGCTTACAATCAAGAGGGTGCACCAGGGTGGACTAGCCCATCCTCATGTGAACCGTATAACGGCGAAATCTGACGCACTTTTTTGCAACTGAAATTTTTCAGTTGCGGAAACTACGGGATGTAATGAAGAAAATCGGTTGGCTTCAATGATGTTTATGACGATAATTATTTGTGTATGCATACAAAAAAATTAAAAAAAGAAAAATAACAATGTTTTACTTTGCATCGTAAACAATAAAATAGGGTGGACATTGGCCATCCTGCCGACCCCGAGGAGCCGCCACTGATCTGATCCTAGGCTTGTTATAGTTCATGAAAGTTGGTAGGTATTCAACATGTCATAAATAAAATGCCGCGTTATAATATCCTGAGAAGGGATAAAGGTTTTGATTTTTTTTTAAGCGCCATTGTTTTTAGCTGAAAGGGGGAAGGTTAATTAAATGTAAATGTACAAGGTATATGGCGTCGGTGTCGCAACGCAAATCCACAGGTGTCCGGGATGTCGCGAACTTTCTTGAAAGTGTAGTCACGAGTGATGGCCTAAAGTTCACGAAAAATTTAAAAACTCCATATTTCTAATTTTCGCAGATAAAGCGGTGTACGCTTTAAAAAATTAATCTAAAAATTAAAAAACGCACAAAGAAATTTCAATAACATCTTGGGGAATATTTTCCCATTCTGCTATTACTGCATCTACCAGTTGATTCTGGTTGAGAGATGAGGGCCTATGCCTGCGAACTGCCTTTTTAAGAGCGTCCCATAGATGCTCCATGGGATTTTAATCGGGACTGAATATCAACTGCATTTAAGTAGTCAGTCACTTGCCTGAGCACGTGAGGAAGAGCGCTATCTTGAATGAATGCAATTTTCGAGATAATAATCCGCATTCATGAATCTCATACGGATAGGAACCAACTCTCTACGACCGTTAAAACATCTATCCACAAAGCATTACAGCAATATTGCAGCTTACAAGTCTCTCTCCTGGTCTTCGTCGGACATGCTCACATCCATCCATCCGAAAATTTTACGTTAACTCTGGTTTCATCTGAGAACAAAACGTTCTTCCAATTATCAACTCATCAACCGTCCAATTTTGATGGTTGTCTGAGATACTATGATTTTACCTAGTTTTCTGATGTCATTAATTTTATAGTTTAGCCTATTTTTTATTATTATTAAAAACACACTTTTTTTGTCTAAATTAGTCGATCCAAATATCTATATTATCAGAATATCAAATTTTATTTAATCCACATTTATGGTTCTCATACTGGAAAAATTTAAACCTAACAATTACAATAGCCCGATGGTGCCTAAATCAGCTGTATTAGTATTTATAGGCAAGTACTATCCAAAATGTGACTGTCCAATTTTCATTTCCTGTGCGGGTAGGATAAGTGATCCTTTTCAAAATCCAATAAACTACAAACAGTTTTAAGTTTTTTATTAATATTTTTTTCAATAAACACTAACAAAGCTTGGATAAATGGATGTAGAATTTGTAATCATCTATTGACTAAATTCTGTTGTAAAATTATCGACACCAGTTGATAAAGTAGATGCCAGAGTTATGATTGTAACCGAAGTACTACGTATTGTACCTGTTGTCAGACTGATATTAATGGGCGGTGTATCTGATAATTTCACATGTGCATTATTTGTACTACATGGATGATTATCAATAGGATTCAAAATTGTTTCCAAAAAATATGCCATTAATGATCCAGTAGTTAAACCAAAATTGTACAACAAAGTCATTATGTTACCTGCAATGAATATAAATAATTAGATAAACTCAAATATTAATAACAATTCTCTTACCAGTAAGCTCCCTGTAGCGATCATCCACTTTGCTCGGTGCTTGTATCATTGGAACACTTCCGAGGATTCCATTACTGAAGCCCAAAATTAAAGCAAAAGTGAATGCTGTCACTTCGGCTGAAAAAACTGGATTTGATCTTGGGGCCACGCACATAATCATTAAAGGAATCATTATAAGTCTTGCGACGGAACATCGAACTAAGCGACCACCTGTCCAATATCTAGAGGAGGATGCTAACATTTTTCCAAATAAATCGGCTCCGTTGAATAATGCCATCATAAGAAGAGGCATCCATGACCCCAAACGACAACTAATTATTTCAGACGCTATTCCAGGATACAAACATAGTGTGGCAAAATACACCAAACATATAGATATCATATACGGATGGATGGCTTTAGTGATCTCCCATCGTGCTAACAATCCCCCTAAAAATTTGAAAGACTTAAATTTTCAAATAGTCAGTTCAGAAACGGACTTACTTTTAATACCGCTCAGTCCTCCAGCGGTACTGACGCTTTGCCTCCCCCGAATAACCACATCTTCGACTTTGTACGTTGGTACCGGAACTGGAGCTGAAGGTTCATAGGCTGGATTTGCAAAACTGAGAGTATTTCCGGCTGGTGGACTATTCTGTATTTTTAGAACCCCATACTGCGCTTCATTAGTTTCTATCTAAAAATTATAGAGTTATATGATTACAAACACTTGATATTTAAATACCAATCCAGCATCTTCAGTCGGTTCAAGCGTAATCCTAGTCTTTGCCCTCTCACATAAAGCTATGTAAAATTGTATAAAATCAGTTCTTCTGACAAGATGATACATTGCAAAACACGTTGCTACTGCTGAAACTGATACAGTAAAAAAATAAATTGTACTTCCTCGTATTTCTGGTATCATAAATCTGGTAAGAACTCGAACGGATGATGTAAATACTCCAGAAGCACCTGAAATTTTTATGTTAAAGAATAATACATGTCTTACAAAAATTTAGCAATACTTACTTTCGCCTACCATTACAGCTTGAGTATAGCGCGCAGGTAACATACTAGTGTATCCATAAAAACTGGATTGTTGTACTAGAAAACAAAATTAATAAATAAGAGTACTCATTGTACGATGTAGCACTAATCATAACAGCAATATTTGCAGAATTAAAAAAAAAACGAGTGAATCTTTCCTTTATATTTATACATTTATTTTCGAGACGTAAGAGTATTATTTTATAGTTAATTCTTCATAGTCTTGTGAATTATTTGTAGTATAACTATATTAATCTATGTCGTTTTTTTACCAGGTATTAATTTTTTAGTATTAAGACACATACTCGGACACATATTTAGTCCGGTCGTCGATTAAAATTTGTATCGTCTACATTTTTTTTGGGTCGTAAAGTATAAAAATATTAATAGGAAAGAAAAAGAAATATCGCTAAAACAGAAAGTTACTTGACACAAAGTTATGCCATTTAAAGAAGTGATAATGTGATAATTTAAAACATTTTCAGAATTTGATTCAGGCAGTTAAATTTTAATTATTGTAAATTTTTCTAATATTGGTTTGTTAATGTGACCGTTATAAAAAATGTTGGGCTTCTACGATAATTTTTATCCAATTGATTCCTACATTAGTTGTTCATTTTTTCCTGTGTTTTTTATTATTATTTTTTTTTTGGGAAAACATATTTTGTAAGTTGTATAGAGTAAAATTAAATTTGATAAAATTAATCACCTACAATAGAAATTTTTCAACCAGTTAGCCAGCCAAAAATTAAATATAAAAAAAAAATTATTGAAATAAAATGTGCCAATTTTTTGTATAATTGTTTTCCAATTTACCTGTGCAACCGACAGCCACTACTGCTACTGCTGCTAAATTTACACCATAAGAAGTAGCTGTACCAAACGCCTCCCACCATACTTCACACACAACAACAAAAATGAGAGTTACAAAAGACATAAAGTATCCTAAAATAGAGTAAATTAGGGTGTGTGTAACATTAACTTGGTACTTTTACCGAAATTTATTCTGGAATTAAGAGTAAAAGTTTCAACCAACAAGTTATTCCCCAGTACAGTGAAGAAAGCAACAGCAATGTACACCAAAGACATGTCAAACACCACTGGAGAATCAGGATACCTTACTTTGAAGTAGTCCATAGCCATTATAAAACTGCAGAATAAGTGGGTAAATATTAAACTTGGAGGAAAAGGTCAGGGTTCAGCATGTTACCTATTATAAGGCAGAAGAAAACCAGCACCACCAAGAACAAATGCTAAATATATAGCATTGTATGAATCTATGGGGGGTGATATATTTGTGAATCCATTACTATTGTGGAAATCATTTCTTCTACGAGACTTTCCGAGTTTGGAGTAACCGTGTGCATCATTGGTTTCTTCCATTTTAAGTAGGTTGAAATTAAACTTCTTGATTATTTATTTTGCTGCATGGTTACAACTTCTCACAAACACGTGTTATTATAATTTCAGATGTTAGTAATTGTATATACAGATAAAATTATATTTTAAATTATTTCACTTCACATTTTTTCAGCATTGTGGATTTTGCGCATGATTCTGAATTTATTGATTTCAAAATCGCGCTTGCGAACGCAGACATAACATTTTTATTTAATTAAAAAGCGGACATTCTATGACATTAATTGAATAAAAACATACCATTTAATAAAAAATTCGATTTGTGGAATGTTAGAAATTTGATTAGATATGTGTCATATAGGCAATCAACAATTCATTATTCGTTGATGACAGTGGTAAAAATACAGATTCAAATTCTATACGTCATTTAAATAATTAGTTTTTAGTTAATTTCTCCATTATAAACTAGTTTCAAAGTTAACTTTTTTATAGTTTTGAAACCAGGATGGTAGCAAACGTTCGTTGATTTTCGGGAAAGCTCGTTCACCAATCCGAGACCCTGGTCTATGACGTTGTGACGGGTTAGCGTCTGACATCTGTTGATAAATTGACGTATCTTGTCATTGTCAAACTGTAGGAAAATGGTGCAAAATAACATGGTTTTTATATCTAAAAATTCGTGTTGGCCCGTGCCAATACGTCAAAATTATTCGATGATCGGTCTTTAATTTCGCAAAACAGTGTTCCGTGACATTTTGTGCTAATTTACTAGCTTGTTGTGTGTTTTTACACGTTTTATTAAGTTCATAAACAAAGGCCATGTCATTTGTCAAATCAGGTGATTTTTTTGCAAAAAATTTATGACGAAGTGCGGAGTGTTCCATGCCGTAAACATGTAAATAGTGCGCTGTCTGTGTAGTAAAACAAAAATAAAAAATGGGTGCTAAACCGAGTACAGCTAATGGGACCCAGAGCCCTCGCACCAGAGCCTTCTCCACGAGTAGTAGTTCGGAAGTTGTCACAGCCCCAGGCTTTCGATTTATGAGATCCTTGGGAATGGACATGTCGAATGATCGCCAAAGAGCACGGTCGTTATCTAGTGTTCCAGATTTACATACTAGTCATGAAACAATTGCCATACCGGCGACAGGCGCCAGTTTTGACGTTTCCACCGGTGCCAGTCCAGAGACGGACAGCAGCTCGGCAGAGGATACAGCGGGTGCCCTCGGTTCTGCCGCCTCCAGCATTGCCCTAGGACGGGTGTACGCTGCACATTCATTACCTTCACATATATGGTCGCTAAATGGTATGTATTTACTTCTTACATTTTATAAGGGAATGTTAATATAGAACAATCATTACAACTTCAAAGTCGAGATTTCAACATTAATCGGCAATTTCCCAATTCATATTTATTGTCATCAGCATTATAAAGTACGTAAACAATGTGTTTAATATTATGAATTTCTCAGTAACGTTGACAATTCCTTCAAATTAGGTACTTCCAATTCCTAAAGAAATGACGTTACGTAGACAAAACTTTCTAACAAAGAAAATTTTCTGGAGATGTACACTAAACTCATTTGACATACACCTTGTAAAACTTTTATGACTTAAGCGGCTTGAGCCAAACCATCTTTATAAGTCAAACTGGCTATTTGTAAGCTTTATGGACCCGAAACGCAAGGATTATGACTGTCCATTGTTGCCACAATGGAGCTGTAAACTGAGTTAAGTTATGCAATAGCCAGTTTGACTTATAAGGGTGCTTTGGCTTAAGCCGCTTAAATCATAAAAGTTTTATAAGGTGTATCTCAAATGAGTTTACTGTATATTTTAATCTACACTGAGACGTGGGTTTACAATTTAAAGTGGTAACAATTTGTGTTATATTATCATTTATATGTCAAGTGAGCATTCAAATCCACATCAAATATGTCACCTGTTATCTAAAACTTCCAAATTTTTACAAATTAAGTGTAGCCTATTGTTGTGAATCCATTTTGTTACAAACTGGTATCTGTGACTTTACATGTGTACAAATGCCACACTGTTAGTCCACAGTATTTAGTTAAATTATTGTAAAAAAAAAACAAACAATACAACAAAGCTTGGAAATACGATGTGGTAAGTAACAGGAAAAGGTAGTTAAAAAAAAGAAAATTTAAATTTAAATACATACATAAAAATCAAGTAATGTACATCAATAGATGTGTAATGATAATTTGTATGCTAAATTGTGCAAGATTTGTGTACATATTTGAGAATAATTGAGGATGTTTGTTAACACATATCAAAACAGCTGCTTTCATACAAAATACATTATTTAGGTGTTTTACATGCATTGTGCATCTAAATTTAAACTGGAGACTACAGTACACCAAAACTACAAAGTTGTCATGGCGACTTTTAAAGTGTCAATAGAGTTGCAATAATATCAATTTTCTTAAATAGTGTTAATTTTTCGTTGAACTCTTTTTACAGAATACATTTTCTAGTGTTGAGCTCTGTGATAGTGATAACGCTGCGAAAGATGTGTCAGTCTTTATAATTTTTTACGATGCTGCTTCTCTTATCTTCATCTTGATCCTTTCCGGTGATTTTTGGTACATATATGCACGCTGAATCACTACGCACGCACGTGCTTCACTATATCTCATTAATTATTGGAAATAGAAAAAAGTCACAGACTAAAGCTGGCCGGTTTTTTGAGTAGCATACATTAAAATTATTTTAGAGTATTCAAAGTGTTTTGTTTTTGAAGCAGCACACAACTTGGATTTTTTTTATAAAACACTGTTCTCGTTCTCATTTTCCTTACATATTCTCGTTAGCCTCTCCTCGGGCCTTAAACCGTAGTTTATTTTTGAAATTCCGATGAGATGTTATTTCAATTTTCTGGATTTTTTAGCAGTGCAAGGATTCACAAAAAAAAATTGCTAAAATGTTACTTTTAAGAGCTATGTTGCAACTATTTGATAGATATTAACATGTTTGTAATATACTGTTACGAAATAAACCTATACGCCGCCTATGGCTTCTAGTATATACGGCGACGATGACTCATTGTCCGTGACGGCGGCCGGAGAAGAGCCTGGAAGCGGATGTCGCGACAGGTGTTCGAGAATAAGCCTAGAAGCGGTGACGGAGACCTTCGTGAATGTTGCGCCGAAATTATTTTGTACATAGTTGCTCTATAATTAGTCGTGTAAATCCGAGTTACTAAGGAATAAATTGTTGACTTTAACCCACGCCGATTTTAATACTAATATAAAATTTAGAAGAACAATTTTATTGTTATTAAAGTCTGCCCCCACGTAAGAAAAACAAGATTAATCGTGTCCTGCAGTTAATTATACAGGGTTAGTCACGAGAGAATTACTTCTGAAAATTATTTTTACGCAACCCAAAATACTAATACCCTGTACCACTTGATATTATCTAAATTTAAAATGAAATGCTTAATCCATGATTGCTTTGACTTTGGCAGTGTCACTTTGACGTTAATTAATTTTTAACATTTTTTTTTCATCGTTGACTCGCCTCTAGAGCCCCATTGGACCGACGACATACAGCCAGATCAATCTGGGCTATACTGAAGCCGTAAGTGCTCTACCAATGTTGTTCGCCGCTAATGTGCAAGTGTTAATTCGCCAGCTCTGCGTCACCTAGAGCCTCTTCGAAGTGCAAATCTGCAACCTCTGGACTTCTTCGGCCATCCATTTACAAAAAAGCCGTAGCATCCCCCCAAAATGCCCAACATTTTCAACATATTAGTAGTTAAATTATTTACTTACTTGTTTGAGTTTGTGTTGTAACCTTTGAATAAAATGCCGTAAAAGGAATTTTTAGAAATAATTTTCTCGTGATTAATCGGTTGTAAAAGATCAAGAGGCACACTGACAAATTTATTACCGGCGCCGGAGGAGATTTCCGACTGGCTGCGGTACCACCATGGACACTCGCGTTTGAGATTGCCAAACTCAAAGCATTCATGGATTAAGCATTTCATTTTAAATTCAGTTAGTATCAAATGGTACATGGTATTCGTATTTTGGGTTGCGTAAAAATAATTTTCAAAAGTAATTCTCTCGTGACTAACCCTGTATAACAGTTATTCCTCGGCTAAAAAATTCAAAACGCAACCAATAATGCATTACAGTTACTATTGTTTTAATTAAAACATTGCTGTTTGTAATGGTTGGTATGAAATATCAAAGATAATTTTGAAATTGTATTTCTGGTTGCGTCTTGAATTTTTTAGGCGTGGAGCTTTTAGTGAATAACTCTGTATATTATTGAAACCGGAGTCCTGCCTAATGATTCATGAATAACGCCAAGATTCGAGTGTTAGGTACTATGAACATACCAGAACAAGAAAAAAGACAGTAGTAAATACACAGCGCGCTCCTTATAGTAAAAATAAACCCAGACATGACCTTTCAGTCATCCTGAATGAGTACCGATATTATGCAGAAAACGTTATAATATCGGTTGAAACAAAATTAAACTACATAAGAAAAATTATTTATTACAAATTTAGAATTCTTACAGTCATGATTGCTTTTTTTTAATAAAATTCTTCATACTAATGCTGGTCTATAATTTTAACGTATCTTAGCAAGAAGTATCGTGTAGATGAAAAAACGCTAACGAAAATTTGTCTAATCATCCCACAATCTAATGACACCATAAATTTTTTAGTAAACGCTATTTAATTGTATAAAATAATACACTCTAGTACAGTTCCTACACTACATCAGTACCTAGTAAAATTTTACAATATGGTAATAGGGTACATCGGACGAATGGCCATTTTTATGTTTTCTAGACGTTTTATGACCCCTAGATCCGGTTTACGGAAGTTCAGTTAAATATTTGATTGCGATTAATTTTTTAACACGGCGTGAAAGTACCACGTGATCGACTCTACGCCAATCAGATGTCGCTAAATGCCTGGTTAAATGCGTAATTAACTTAATCACAGTTAAAAAGTTAAAAAAAAAACTGCTCCCCTAGAGTAAAAAAAACTAGCCTGCCGTCTGTCTGTCGTCTATCTGTCGTTTGTGTCGATTTTTATTAGACACGTAAATTCTGAAACTATCGGATCGATTATTTTTTGACTGAAAGAAAGCACACACATTTGTTGGTCTAACCAGTAAGCTCTGTTTCAAAAGCAGTTTTTTTATCAACTGAAAGCGAAGTAAATATCTAAGTTTAGTATATCATTATAATCGCAGTTTAGTGGTTATCAAAAATAAAAATACGTTGTAATTTAAAATTATTAAATAAAATCATTTGCAGTTGAACCTCTGCGGTTTTATTATCAGACCCTGAGAAAGTCTGGTTTCCTCGACATTACCTAGCCCAGTAATAGCTTATTGCTTGCTATAACTTGTGCTTTACTGATACATTCTTGCCTTTTTCAACTGCAGTAGAAATATAATATGTTTCTTTAATGAACTAATGACAGAATAAAAGTAGATTTTGTAAATATTTTGTAACACCTTTTGTCTTGAAAGCAAAATATATTTTGATTTTTTTTCTTAACTTTTCAGTCTACAATTCCTTTGACAGTTCCAGCTCTGCTTTCAAAATAAATACGAAGTGCATGTATACTGACAAAGTGATAAAACACAGTATGTAGTACTTCATAAAGTTTTTAATATAGGATCCCTTCTGCGATGATTAATCGAGTAGTTGGGATCTTTTAGTTAGTTTTCTTATTCTGAATTCGATAAGCACTTACTGAATGTCACTGCAGACGTATAACATATAAATCGCAATTTACTTACAACGAGTAGATTGAAACATTCTGTTAAAGTAGGTGTAACTAAATTTCTCAATACATCTTATAATATCGCACTGTAAAAAACTGTCGTAAAATTTTACAGTGCTCATATTCCATTAATTATTGGTTTGGCAATAACTCAAAAAATGTGTATCATTTAAACTAATGTTTAGATTCTAAATCGATATTTATGAGATTTACGGTAAATTTTTAGTTCAATATTGAAATGATTTAAGTATTTAACTCCTTGTCTCTTTCTGACTATGTTCTCCCTCTCATTTTTCGGACCTACTCCAAATCTCTATCTTTAGAGCTGGCGATATTGTTTTGTTTTTTGTATGCCGGGTTTAGTAGTGGTGATAACAAGTAACCGCTTGCTGCTTATATGTCATGAGCATGACAAAAGCCGTTGTTATAACACGCCAATGTGTAATTTTTAAATTATTCGTGTAACATATAATAATTAATTATTTACGAGTTAAATGAGTGTGGTTGATTTGTAACAATGGGCCAAA